GGCTCTATGCAATCAGAGTTCATCAAAAATGTTTATGTGCCCCAAATGGATGCTGATGTTGGGATGAACAAATGTGTGTCCCTTCTTCCTTCCCTGCCTAAAGACTCCTAATAAGGGAAATTAAATCATACATAACTGAATCTAAAATACGCAAAACTGGTTTCAATGACAAAGACTCAGCTAAGAGACAAATTCATGGTGGTAGACACCTAGAAAAAGCTATTCTAGGCAACAGATGTCTGGCACCTGACCCAATTGTTCACTTGGTTTCAGGTAAGAGGCTTCCTAATAGATTTGGGGAGCAGGCTAAGGGATGGGGTGGAATGGAATGGAATAAGCAACCAAGAAAAATGCTTTATCCAATTAAAAAATACAGCAAATTAAAACGCAGCAATATTTATGTCCCGTTGCGACAGGCACCCTGCACAGCAGCACACGCTGACCAACGCAGAGCTTTTGCTGTACAGACTTCCTGCGTTGCTCTGGAAGCCAAAGGGGGCCTGAGGTCTCCAGGATGGTTAAAAACAGGGGGCTCAGTATTCTGGGCTTTGAGAAAACTTGTCGAGGGGACTGACTGCCAAACTTGTTAGGCTGTCACGTTAACCATCCCCTCAGTCTGCTTCTCAGGTTTCTTAAGGATGCACATCTCAATCGTAGCATCTGCCTACACCTGGGCCACAACCATGCAGGTTTCTACTAGATCTGTGGTCTTCAACAGCCAGGAAGACGGCTGACCCTGCCCTCCTAGTTCTGATCTTGTTCCTGTGTCAACAGGAAAGTGAGAGCTGCCCTTCCTGACCTTGATGGATGCCGATGTGGTTTCCCCCATCCTGATGCTGCAGCTCAAACACTTCCCCTAAGCTGGTCCTTCCCTCCAAATCCTGGCTTAAACACTTAAAAGGCAGAGAGCTTCAGCTGCAAAATTCTCTATACCAAACACGGCCAACCGTTGTGCTCTTCTAGTCACATGATTTTACCTTTTAAAGAAAAGGCAAAACAAAGCCTATTTCCAACATAGCATTACAACTTTTAAAACCATTCACTTCTCATAGCAATTCACAGAGCAAGAGATTAAAGTGCTGGCTTTTAAAATTCTAAAGTTGTACTCAGGGCTATGAAAAGCCCTGCCATGTGTGTTTTTCCTCCATGCTGGTGAGAAGAAGGAAAAATAGGAAAAGGGGTAAAAAAAAAAAAAAAAGAAAAAGAAAAAAAAATCCTAAAATTTTGAATCAGAAACTGGAAATTATAATAATGCTGGGGTTCTGTGCAAATTAATCTCTCAAGGTTCTGTGGCCTCAAAGAAAAAAAAAAAGGTGGGAATTGGCCAAAAGGATGAAAGACTTTAGACCTTTACAAATAACTTCCCCCAATAAATATCATTTAATGAGCAAGAAAGAGACACACCTGCACGGAACGCAGCAATACTGAAGGGTCTGAGGCGGGGCCCACACGAATGCTCCCGTCTCCGATCGCAGCTCCCTGCGGGACAGGCAGTCTGGCCTCACTCCTCACCCCAGGAAGCAGACACCCTGCGGGATCTGGGACGCTCAGTCCTCTGTCTGGACAGAGTCCACTTAGGAGAGCTGAGCTGGGACAGGGCAATGGCTTTCACTAGGTTTTCGTCTAACATGAATAAAGGACCAGAAAATAAAAGGCTAAGTGTGTGGTAGTGGACAAAAAACAGAAACAAAAAAACCTGGGGGTAATATAAATACAATCTGGGGGCAATATTTATTAATTAAAACTACATCTTATAGTTTACAAAGATGCTAATGAACAACAAAAGTATAATTGACCTTAAAATCCTCAGTGAGCCTGAGGCTTCACATCTTCTCCAGAATTCTGAAGTGTGCTCCGAGCAACGAGGCGGGGCCTGCGGCACGCAGGCTCCAGGGCAGCACCCCCAGACTGCAGGACGCGGAGACCAAGAGGTTCCTCAAAGCAAAAGATTCCGGTCTCTTTTGGAAGTTCCATTCCCCAATCCCCGTTGTCCTTGTATTCCTGCCCCCCAAATTCCATCCAAGGCAAGTCCTCAGTTTATCGTCGGGAGAATCTGTTCTTGAAAGCTTTAATCGTCTTGGCCATCATCGGGGCAATTTCTGTGAAATGAGGCAGTTGTTTCAGATCTGTGGCAGCTCAGACACACCCCTGGTGGTTTACAGTCAAAGCCAAGCCTATGCTTGGCTGTGCGCCCCCAGAAAACAGACACAAGTAGTAACTATCTGCTCACACTGCAGTAGAAGCAACAGCTCATCACAAACACTTTCTGAGGATCTGCCAGGTGCAAAACAATCACTCTCTGATTCTAGTGACCTGTACCAAAGCTCAGAGACCGGCCAACTTGCACATAGCAGTACAGTAAGTGGCAGAACTGGAATTTGATCTCTGCCAGACTCTAAAGGCCACACTCAAGCAGAGTTCAGCTCTGCCTCACAAACAGCCAAACCAGTCAACAGCCCCCCAGGCCCCCAGTCTGTCCAGTGTGGCAATGGGTCTAAGATGAGCTACACAAATACCACCAAAGGAGGGCTAGCCTGCCTCTTGACTGGCTAACCTAAGCACAGCTGAAGCCCAAGCCAGGACCGCCAACCTCCCGTGGGCCCCACAATGAATACAGAATAATACTTTTCTTAAGTTAGGACACACCCTTAGGATACTGGGGATAGTCTATGGCAATCAAGTTAATAAAGGCCGGGTGTGGTGGCTCACCCCTGTAATCCTCGCACTCTGGGAGTGCTGAGGTGGGAGGATTGCTTGAGCTCAGGAGTTTGAGACCAGCCTGAGCAAGAGTGAGACCCCATCTCTACTTAAAATAGGAAAATTAACTGGGCGTTACGGTGTGTGCCTGTACTCCCAGCTACCCAGGAGGCTAAGGCAGAAGGACTGCTTGAGCCCAGGAGTTTTAGGCTGCAGTGAGCTGTGATGATGCCACTGCATTCTAGCCTGGGTGACAAAGTGAGACTCTGTCTCAAAAAAAAAAATAAAAATA